CAGCCCGAAATTTTTGAATGTGAAATGAAAATGAATGAAAATGTCGGGACTGAGTCGCGACGATCAGATCGCGTGAAGTCTGTCCGGGGCCTTAGGCGTTTCCATCCTGGATTTTGGGATCTTTTGATTAAGTGTTTTCGGTGTTTTCTTTATGTTTTCTTTTCTTTTCAGGCACCAACCTCCTCAAAGTGATGTAAGCAATGAAAATCAGTAAGTCTCTTGTGTTCTTGCGACTGTAAATCCAGGATTGGGACGCCAAAGATGGACGGTTGTCATGATCATATGAAATTATTCGGCTGTATATCTAAGAAATTGTGTAATCGCTACTATATTTCACGAGTACAAGACGCACGTGGTTTTTCTTCTCTGGAGCCGACCAGCCTGAACACACCAAAAAATTTCGCACCCACCAGAACCTCTACCGTGCTCCTCCACAACTAAAAGAATATTGCGGTAGAGCGACCATTTGCACAGTGGTGTAGCCGAGCTGCTTGTTGAAAAAAATGAAAAAGGTGTGTCTTGTACTCGTAAATCAGAGTAAATACCAGATACAAAGCGAAAGTGATTTTTGCTAAGATGAAGAAAAGGTTTTAAGAAAGTTAAAGTTCAGAGGGAGAAGTACATTTGCATAACAAAATCTAATAGATAACGTGTGGGATTGTAGAGTTGAAGAATTGATAATACACTTGTCTGACTTACCGATATGTTCCCATGGTAGTCCGCTTGTGCGTTAATGGCGTCCTTTCTTTTTCAAAAATTCCATTAGTTCAGGACATTTGAACATACAAATACCGTCATAGAACGTCCACGTATATATCGCGAAATTTTCGCTGCATCGATATAACTTCTCTTTATGTAAAGCTGAGTGTTAAAAAAGACATGTAGCTCGTCGAAATGAGTCTTGTAAAATGTCGAATAAATGCTGTAACACTGGACCATAGGTATGGCGAGAGGTCAATTTGCACGAATTTACATAAAAGTTCAGCAAGATTCCTCGATACGCTGACCTCTATTGTATCCAACCTTTGATTCAGCTAGATTAGCGGTTGGGAGGTGGGGCTTCATGACCTGATTAAGACCACTTGCGCTCGCGACGCAGTCGGCGTCTCTCTCGCCCGCTGCTCTCTGATCACTATCTAGCCTTAATTAGGTCACGAAGCCCCGCCTTCCAGCCGCCAAGTTGAATGGTTCAAAGGTTCTGCTTATTCTGCTGTTATCTTTTGCGTACCTTCATTCCTGTGCCAACCTGAATTCGAATCGTTTTCAAGAAAAGTCTTTTCTTCCAAAGGGCAGTCCTGACATACCTACTTGTTCCCACATTAGTCCCTTTCACGTCATTCAAAATTGGTGTTTTTTCTCCCAAGTCAGTTCTTGAATAAATTGTGATGAAGCTGTCTAACAATAAGGAACAGCATTTGTAAGTGAGTGCAACAATCGATTGTATCTCAGATTTTGGAGCAAAGCCATGGTAACGAAGGTTAGCCATTAGTGCAAACTTGCAGATTGTGATTTCTTCTAATTGATGCGCTTTTGAACATATGCTTGTAGTTTGTATCACGGAGCTTTGCTTTGCAACTGTCAAAACCCCTTGAAAGTGAACGAAATTTTAAAGCAAAATTGTATTCAGCTTCCCGAAGCCAATTTTCCGTTTTTGCGCTGCCACAGTTCATTGCGATAGCAGATTTACGACAAAGTATGATTGAGTATTCGAAATGTTCAGAGGGATTATCCTACTTTTGAACGAATTGCGAGATGAAGCTCAAATCGTTAATTGGTATCTATGGAGTCTCCTCTCTATTCTCCTCCTTCGCCGCACTAAAATCCGTAGAGGAAGAGTATCAAAGCAGTATTTCTCCCATTATATCAAGCGATTCGGATAGCTCTTTCTAGTTAGTAGAAGCGAAGTTGGGCGAGAACTGATTGCATGAGAAAAGCTCATTTGTATGCATCATAATCACATATAACATACTAGCTGGCTTACCCGGCTCCGCCCGGTCCTGTCAAAATAATAAAGGTCCCATCCCTTTCCCTGGGCAATCCCTCAAATTTTGCAAAAATATCGATGATAAAAGTAGGAGATAATTCCCAAAACTAACACTGTCGTAATCAGCATGCTCGATTACCCCCCTGCGCCAAATTTCAGCCCCGTAGCTCAAACTTTGCAAAAAATCGATAAATTGATAAAAGCAATGCACGATTTTAAAAACTAATATTGTATTCGTAATCAGCATGCTCGATTACCCCCCCTGTGCCAACTCCCAGCCCGGTAGGTTACTCTGCAAAAAAATCGATAAAAATATAAAATCGATATCGATCGATGACGAAAAGTAGCCTAGAACACCCGCCGGGGCCCGAAGTGTATGTGTACCAAGTTTGGTCCGAATCGGTTTAGAAATGGAGTTTTCTATTCGGAATATATGTACAGACAGACATACAGACAGACATACAGACAAACAGACATACAGACATACAAACAGGCATTCAGCTTTATATTAGGGTGATCCAAAAGTAATGGGGCACCTAAAGAATAAATGCAGTTTTCTCGAATAGAAAAGCTAATGGGAAGTCCAAGTTTTGGCAGATGTTAGTACATAGCAAAACACTCCAATCGAGGTCCACAGATGGGCACTGTCACATGGCCTTAGTTTTATAAGCGCTCAAAATCAAAGCTCATCACTTCGAATAATTTTGAACTTTGAGCAGCAGCGCCGCAGTAGAACGTGTGAGTCTAACGAAGATAGCTGCGCAGCAATGGGTGAGGGGACTGTCACCAAATCCACGATTGCTCGGTGGTCCCAAGGCTTTAGAACAGAAGATATAGCATTGGGTATCAGGAGACGTATTATTAATCTTTCATCAAGGTAATCAAATAAACTCAATCTTAACAGTTGCTTTCTGATAGTGCTTTTTACGCTCTATCCATATATATGCAAATTACTTCGACTTTTCTCATTTTCAAAAAATTATGGGCCAAAACATGATTTTTTAGTCTGAAAATCTGCGCCAAATACCGCCTTTTTCGAATAAAGTGCTTTTTTGTACGAAATAATGTGCAATTTTTGAATATTCAAGAATCGTTAGAAAGAGCTTGGAAAGCTCTTTCGAATGGCATGTTATATGTCGAGGGACTTTCAGGTGCAGCAGCACAAATTCGGATGGCGTTCAAAAAAGTCCCTCTGACTTTTTTGAAGCGCCACTCGAAGGAATGTCGGTGAGGTGCTGCAAGGTGCTGTCAAGATAACCTGCGAAGGTCACTTTATACAAAAGCGTTCAAATTGCTGGTTGTTCATAGCTAATCAGAAAGAGATTTTAAAGAATGTTAAAAAAATCAAGCTGCCCCATTACTTTTGGATCACCCTAATATATAAGATGATACAACTGGCTCGGCATTCGGGAAGGCGGGGCTTTGTGACCTAATTAAGGTTAGATAATGATCCGAGAACACTCGCGCGAGAGAGACGCAGGTGCGTCGCGGGCGCGAGCGGCCTCTATTAGGTCACAAAACCCCGCCCTAACGGAGCCAAGCCAGTTGAATCAAAGGTTACAAGGTGTCTCCAAAAATGTGAACACTGGGTCAATAATAACTCCCTTGCTTTAAGCCTTTCGCCGAACTTCAAGTAGCAATCTATAGAGCGAGGTTCAAATCAGATTTACAGTATGAAGCGAACCACCCGATCGATCTTCGCTACTAGGAATACGGTAAGAACTTCGACAAAGATTTTAAGGCCGTTGGAGGCCATATTCTGCCTCGGAACAAAACAAACAACCCAAAAACTATCATACTATTGTAATGGAAGCCGCTGATTTTGAATATAAAACTTCCACATTACTTTGATGCTTCTTTCCTAGGCTATTCAAGGTGAACCGTAATAAATGATTTCCCAGCGTTTGTCGGAAATGTGATTACGCCGTCAAAAAAGCTGAAAACACTCGTAAAAAGTAGTGTAGTGGAATCAGTGTGCATGAAAACCCCAGTACAGGGTTTTTTGAAAAAAACTATGTCAGATGGCATACTTCACAATATTTCCTCATGCTAATCTTACCGTAATCCTACAGTAACGAAGAGCGGTACGTGATTCGCTTCATACTGTAGATCGAAGTTCGATCCTACAGGATGATTCGTCAAGCTTTGCGAAAAACATCAAAGCAACGAATTCATCAATGATCAAACAGTGTGTTTACATTTTTCTGGGACACCCTGTATTATGAGAATACTTACAAATTTGGATGGATTGATTATGCACTCGTCAGACCCACTTATATATGACTAGCTGATAGTTCCGGTCTCACCCGGGACTCTTAGTTTAACCAATATGTCATCGGGCTCCATTCGTATAGAGGCGGGTTGCAAACTTCCCTGATCTTTAGGATAAACTTGTTAAACCTCTACGTTAAAGCATTAAATTTGGTACTTTCTGGTCGAGCTTATCCTTGAAGTCACTGAAGTCCGCAGCCCGCCTCCACACGAATCTGGAAGCCAACATACTTACACTTTCTAACTTCTACATTGCGCGAAAAGTGCTTTGAGACGAACCCGCTGCATCCTGTCAGCCTTGAGATTAGAATGAACTTTACCGCCCCTGCTTACATGCTTATATGTAAAAATGATCGGTTGCCATAATGGCCCTTCATTTTCTTAGGTTTGAGTAAACAAATCAATAAATCGATAGAATGGCTCGGCGAATCGCCGCGAAAAGTAGCTCTAAATCACCGCCGGGGTCGAAAACATATGTGTGCGAAGTTTCAGTCGGATCGTTTCAGTGGCGCGCGTTTCTATAACGAACGAGCAACTAAACGAACATCCTCACAGACATTGAGTTTTATATATATAAAGATTTCACATAGCTAACGGCCTATGCACTAATTATAATACATTCTCAGTCTTACAGCTAAAAAAAAGCTTTCAAGGACGCCCTTGGAAGTCTTCACAGGAATTCATCTCATGCGAAATTTATTAAACGTAAAACGAAAGTAGATACAACATCTTTCTTCCCAAGTACCTAACTCAAAAAGCTTGGCGAAGCAACGGAAGTAAATATAGCACCAGTAGAGTTCAAGACGGGTGAGAAAGCATACGGTGACAAAACCAAAGCCGACACATAGGCTGGTGAAAAAATCAAAGGTGACAGGACAAATGGTGAAAGAATCAGCGGTGAGAGCACATTTGGTGTGCCTATAAAAGGATTCAAAGCGAACGGTGACAAAATTAGGGGAGTCATAACCTGGGGCGATAAAATAAATGGGGATAAGACTAGGGGGGACAGTACAAAGGGATTCATAATTCCAGGGGAGAGAATAATTGGCACTAGAGCTAAAGGACTGAGAATGATAGGTACAAATGCGAAAGGCGTTAGGATTACAGGAGAAAGTAAACGGGGAGAGAGAATAACAGGAATGAATAGCCACGGGGACAGGACTATAGCTCCAAATACAGCCGGAGAGTTGATTAGCGCAGAAAATTGTACAGGCGATAGGATTATCTGCGAACTGGCCAGTTCAGGATCATTCAGAATTAGCACATTACTTAAAGGAGACAGCACAATTGCTTCACGCTTCTGACGACGTGATTGCACAACATTTAACTTGACGACGCCACCGTGTACTTCGTACCGTAACTTTCCCGCAGCCACATGACGTACCGTATCCCTAACAGCGCGATGTGCATTCTCCTCTGTTACGTTGCGCATTCCATGTAAAGCCATAGAATTATTCAAAGGAGAGCTCGCACCGTAGACGAGTTCCCTTTGCTGCGGTGAAAGCACCGCATAACCGGTACTGTTCATTTGTTGCAGCTAAAAACCGATTTGCTCAAATTTGAGAATATTTGATGCTTGGAAATTACCTGTTCCGGAGTGAAGCTCTTTTGAAGACGTTCGAATAGCTCAATTTTTGATGCTTCATGTTTGCCATAAATTTTCGTGACATTTTCCTTGGTGAGATAGATGGGTTGCCCATCGGGTCCACGAACTTTTGTTATGTCTGTCTTGGCTGCTTCTTTCTGTTTTCTGACCTTGAATAGAGATCGTTTCAAAAAATCCGACTTTTTATTATTAATACATGAGTGGTACTTTTGCACCATTACAGTACGCTGTAGCACGCACAGCATGCGACACTTTTTTGCGACGCAAACATGGGTTTTTTCTTCAGACATTTGATAGAAAGGGCCATAACGTGTGTCACGAATTCCTTTCAGACTAACAATAAGGTGCTTAGAAATGCGCAAAAGAGTTGAAATACAATGAAATAATTCCAAAGTCTATAGATGCTGAATTTTCAAAGTTAACTCTCCGGCAATTAAATAAATAAAATAGACATTATATCGTAAACCTCTGAGCAAGATTTACTTTTCCCAGTATGTCCTAGAATTTCATCTTATTCATGAGATATTCTAGTCGCATCAAATTACTTACCTTGGCTTTTTCGATTGCATCACCAGCACCTGATGTTTCGATAATGAAGTCCATCCATTCATGTTGATCTTGCTCTTTCAAAAGTCCCGTGCTGTTCAATAAAGTTGTTAGCGATGTCATTTTTTCAACACCTTTTCCTTTCCCATGAAGCGAGAACAGTGATGGTGACAGCAGATTTACCTAGAAGTTGATCACTCACGCTCAATTTGGATTTTTTGGAACTGAAATAGATTCACCTCATTGCTAGTAGCATTCTCATCTTCCGGTACAAGACTCATCATACGAGGACTAATCATTCTTATGGATTTCTCACTAAAATCTGAGATGTTGTGACCCGTCATCATCATTCCTAGTTTCACTCCTGAATTTGGAATCGTTATTGCTGCGAAATAAATTTTACCAAGGGAATGGCTCATTATGTGTTTCACTTTACCTTCTGACCATTTTGATAGGTTCGTATATTGCTTTTTCCATTGGTGTTAGTCGTTTTTGCTTCTTTTTATATTCTCTCTTCAAATAATCCATTTGAGTATAGCGTTCCGGCTGAAGTGCTTTTTCGAGCTCATCCAATCGCTAAAAATGCATATAAATTTTCGAAAGTATAATCTGTTGGGCCCTCACCCTGAGCTTTCCCAATTTTTTGTACTTATTCGTTCTTTTTCCATAATCTACTGCAGACTTGGAGAAAAACTTTATTCGCTTCTTGATAACTTCTTCAGCTCTTCGTTTGTTCTCCATCTCATCCGCCTCTTTTTTGATTTCCGATACTACAGACTGCCAGCTTCAGAAATAGAATTGGATTAACAAAAGAAGGTTTAAAAAATTATGAACTCACTTTTTATGAGTTCTCTTGTTTTTCAGAACGCGAATAGTCTTGGTTAGATGTTTGGCGATTTGTCCAAATGGTGTTCTGAAAAACAATTTTTTTTTGAGGGATCTCAAATCCACTGAATCGAGAACTCATTAGTAGACCAGCAAGCGTTTCGAAAGGCTACCGTAACAATAAGAACAATTTATGCCGACTACCATGAGTTTCGCATTTTGCAAACACTTATTGAGATATGAGCTTATGCGTTCGTCTCGTTCTATACAATATGTTCAGCAGCCCCGAAAAAAATTGTAAGGTTTTAAAAGCTTCACAAGTAATTTCACAGCTGTTATGCTCGCAGCAAAAGCGGCCATTTTGCCACGTTGTGATACAAAATGGCTGAGAAACTTCTTAATGATATTTACTACCACATGTTAAGAATCGGCATTTTGATTCACATCACCACTATCGTACCTGTCCCTCTCATCCGTCAGATTATAGGTGCTACGGTTGATGACTTCTCTTTTGTGTCGCGACGTGCGGAATCCACTTCTTCTTTGATCTTTCTTCTTTCTTCCAGACTTCTTCTTTGACTTTTTCCTTATCAGCTTTTTGAAGCCAATTTTTACTGATTTCCTAGGTTTGCTTGAGAATTTTGGAGCAATAGATTTTCGCCGAAGTTCTGCAAAAATAATAGCGCTTTTCTGTAGATATTGTATGCTGTCACTTACTTCTGTTGGCGACCCGCCTCTTGCCAAATAATTTTGCCCAACGAGTTTGTTTTGCTTCTTCAGCATGGGCTTCAAGAAGCATACTGACGCATTTGGCATGTGTTTCTACGTCATCAGCTTTCTTGGCGCATTTATAGTGCTTTTCTTTTTCTGTGGTGGATACCTTAGGCAGTCTGAAAATGGATGCAAATAATTTTTTGGGCAAAATCATTAAAACTACCTTTCTGTTGCTACAGCTGCCATCAAGCTACTGAAAGCTTGGTCCACCCAATGCTGATAAAGTTCGTTGCCACTTTCTTCTGTCATAGGAACATTGAAGACTCCATTCTGAAACAAAATGGTTATTTCTACTCGAACTTTCAGCACGAGCAGCACATTTCTCAAATGAAAAAATAAAATCGCTTTGCTAGAATAATAAAGCTCTACAATAGTAGGAAATATCTGGTTCACTTCATTGAATTTGAAAGCAGAACTCAAAACTCACTTTATAGTAAGGTGAATTTTTGACATCGATCTCCACATCGTCGTAACCATTTATAGCGCATCGCACGGATACTGTAATTTGATACTGTATACAGTAGTAATATAGGATTTATCGTCTAAATAATAATAAAACTACCAAGCAACGTCGCCAATAGTGGCAAAATCATTTTGGTGGCGCTTCCAGCAATCTCCCAGTGATCGGTAGATCAATAGATCAGTTGTCTTGATCAAAGTGATCTCCACACGTCTTTAGCAATACGGTAGCATAGATACTGTAGCGATAAAACAGTTATGGCTAGTTTATAGTCATAAACATTCGTGTCGAAGGATCTGTAAAATTGAACTGAGACATCGATGGTGGAGTTAATCATGCGTTCAACGAGACTGAACTGCACTAAAAGGCTTACGACGCACCCGGCGGTTGAGATCCGAGAGAGCACTGTGACGACCTTTTATACGAGGATTCTCGCATTATGACGACACTTTCACTCCCTATAGGTATGGGATTAGAAAGTCGCATTAATTGTTTCAAACGTCACTGTCTTCAATGCTGCTTATAGTGAATCAGCCAAAGATTTCGATAAGCTGCCTGCTTGATAGCTGCGAACTGTGTTTTACTGAAAAAAACAACAACAATAGAATAAAAATTAGCAACCGACTGCTCACAACTTTACTCCTCCAATGGGGGCCATGATAGGATTTTTGTTGTGTGTGGAGAGAGGGAACAGAACTGTTTTCGAATGAAAGGTTGTGGCATGAACCACATTTTTGGAATCTCTTCAAAATCAAGGGCTTAATCTCAAGATTTCAAGAGAATGGAAGGTTTTTCAGGAAATAAACAAATTCTTCGGGCGCGGCAGCAGCCAAAAACATTTCTTACAAAGCTAAATTGGGCTCAAAAATCTAGCTTGCATTAGTTATTTACTAAAAAAAAACAAATCATTCCTATACTCTCAAAATTCACTCTCCACTATTGATTAACACATTTTATTTTATTTATTTATTCATTTCATTTCTTTTATTTACTTTTATTTCAAGGAGTTTGGGCATAATTTTGGTCTGTTGTGCAATCTAAAAAAGCATGAAGTTTTGACAGCCAAGCATGAGGAAAAAATTTTTGAAATGGCACGCTTAAGTGGGAACAAAAGGAGCTTACATAGCTACTACATATATTTGTAAAAGTGGCGGTCCCAGGATTTTCATACGGGAGGGGGGGGGGAGAGAGTTACAAAAAACCTTTTGAATCAAGGTGCGTGGCGTTACCCATGCGCTCCGTAAATTTTTTTTTTGGAATTCTTACCAAAATTTTTGCGGGCTCATGACCCTGAAATTTTGGAAAAAGGAGGCGCGGCGGTAGCAAAACTTTTTTTTATAAGGCTGACAATTTCCAAAAATTCACCATACAGGTATAATCAAGTCACTTACATAATTTTATGACCCTGTGAGTAGCTTTCAAAAATATCGCGTATCATTCTGGGAAAAAGGGGACAATGATCTGTGTATATACCATATAACAGTACTTGGCAAATGTTTTGGATGTCCCTTTCGAGATGTTGCTGATGTTTTTGTTCGAACATGTTTGTTTCCACTGTCTGGTAATGTACAACCCTTACTTTGCGGAGCGTTTGTATCAATGTATAACCATTATTGGAATTTTCACCATGGCGAACGTCTTCTAATCCAATGATACACACAATGCAACGCCTATGTCCGTACGGTGAGGATTATAAGTCTCTCGATAGTTCAAATTGTTCTCGAAAGCGAAAATCGCTATCGAAAACTGTTTCTCATTACTTTCCGTGGATCCGTCTAGACCTAGTCTTTGTTCTGCTTTCTATGCCAAAGAACAAAACGCTCATTCGATGCTCTTTGATAAGGATATAACGTCAAATTTGACTATTCGATCTATTTTATGCAGTTAAGAAACTCAAGTGATGATCTCAGATGCTTGGCTGAACTCGTGCCAGCAAATATAATAGGGAGCATTTGAAATCTAAAATAGGCTACTGTGACTTACCAACAATATCTCTTTTCGAAAATCTTCACTGATTTTAAGATTTTCGAGTGTTGTTGTGTTGCTACAATACCGCTCGTATTTGTGAAAGAATCACTGCACTCCGCCGGAGTTAGCCGAACTTTGCGTCGCATCGCCATATCTTATATCAGAGCGGACAATTTCTTAAACTAAACGCACTACTAAACTCATCTTGACGACATGCATTTTTTGATATATAAGAATGCCTATTTGGGCACAAAGTCGGTAAATATAGATCTTCCCAAATTTTCGGCTACGGTAGGTTGATCGTTGTGCAATGATCGAACACTCTGAATAGCAAGAGTACCGTCAGCAAGAATCGGGGAGGATCCGTAAAATTTGACCGACTATCGTGTCCAAGCAAGCGCTTCTATACATTTCGCCCATTGACGACGATGTGGACCACCGGTGGTCCACGCACTTTCTGCCGCCAGGGACGATGTGAATCACCGATGGCCCACACCCCTCGCAAAGTCATGTCCTTTTCAGGTTTAGTATTCCTTTCACACTTCACTATTTTTTGCACTTTTGGAATTTGTAGATTTCGTCGTCCAAGTAGATAACTGTAGTTGTTTGTAAAACAACTTTGATTTCGTAAATCACAAAATTTTCTCACACCGAAAACATTGTGCAAAATCTCGTCGTCCCACGCCGCCGCCACGCAAAATTAGGCATCGTCGTTTATGGGTTAAAGATGCACCTCGTCAAGTTGAGTTGAATGGTGTTCTTGGATTCGGAATTCGTCCAATGCGAAGCAAGATATGGCGATGCAACGCGAAGTTCGGCGAACTCTTGCGAAAGGCGGCGATTTTTTTTTCATAAATTACGAGCTTATGTTAAGTAGCAACAATGATGCAAATAAGGATTGCAAGCTTGTAAATATAAAAAAAGCAGCTGATAGTGAAATAATCGCTGACAGAATCAAATCACCTCTGTTTCTCATCCGATATTCGTTTCGGGATTACAATAGGTTTGTTTCCTTCCGCATTTTGTATTTGAGTGAATTCTATCGTATTTTGTACCCTTCTACAGTTTTCGGTCAGAAAACAGAAAACAAATTACTGCCCCGCAGTAGCGATAAGATCAGAAACCTTGATTCTGTACTTACATCAACGATGGAGATAAGGAATCTAAATTGAATGTCGTACTTTTTTTTGTAAATGATAACACAAAGACTCGTGAAAGAAAACGGAATCTATACTAACCCTTAAATTATGACACACGAACAACTTGAAGGAAACAGAGTTGAATGCAATTGTTTTATACTGTTCGTATTATATCACAAGAACTTGAACACACAAAAAATGTACAGAGATTTACTTCAAATCATTTCAAACCCATAACATAACATACAGGATTCGCATAGAAAATTGGTAATTCCAACCATACCACAAAATACACAAAAAACTGCCGATATTCCAGAAGCAAATTATCGATGGCAAATACATTGCACATTTGGCAAAAATACGCGTATCAAACAAGACGAGTTTAAGAACCGTTGACATAGCTCATCACTTTGAGAAGCTCATAAAATTAGAGGAAGAAGCTCGTGAAATGAGAGAACGATTTTAGAGCAACAATTTGGAATGCAAAAGGAAGCTAGAGCTAGAACGAAGCTCAGAAATATCATTTTTGTACATTGTAATTGACGAAACGTAGAGAGGGAAGAAATAATATTTTATGAAAGCCAGCTGGGTGAAAGAATGACCTCGGAAGCAATTAGTTTTGACTCTACCAAAGGAGAAAGTGCATACGGTGAAAGCACAAGAGCAAAGAGAAATTGAGGAGAGTAGATGATCGGTGAAAGCACGAAAGGTGACAGAATCAAAGGAGATCCAGCCATAGGGGTGAGGATGAGTGGATTGAGAACCATGGGTGACAAAATCAGTGGTGTGAACACTTGTGGTGATAGGATAAGTGGAGAAAGCACTAGGGGCGAAAGTACAAGGGGGTTGAATATGCCAGGGACAAGGATTAACGGATGGAGTACAAGAGGTGAAAGTATGATTGGAGAAAATATGATAGGATTGACAATGAGAGGTGCCAAAACACGAGGCGAAAGCACGAGTGGTACAAACACCCAAGGAGAGAGAATGATAGGACCAAGCACGGCCGGGGAAAGTGTGATGGGTGACAGGACTAGGGGAGATAGCACAACAAAGGCATTTGACAGCGGCGTACTTGCGAATGTCAGAGGTGTGAGCACAAAAGGTGAGGAAACAATATCCTTCTGTCGTACGCGGAATTTTTCCGCTTCCGCCAGTAAACGAATGCTGAAATATAGGCTTTTTAAAACAGTTTATAGCGATTTGGATTAGAGAATTTTTTTGCAGGTGTGGGAAGGAGGGGAGGGAAGAAGCCATCAATTTTATTATGGATGTTTATTCTTTTTGACGCACTTTTTGTGTGAAATAAATAAATAAATAAACAGATGAATAAATAATTGAATAAATAAATAAGTAAATTCATGATTCAATAAACGAATTCGTTCATCACTTGCTGTAAAGCGTATCTTCCAAAAAGTATTCTTCGAAATGCTGACTTGTGCCTAGCTTGCAGAATTGACGCCCACTGTTGTGCTCTTGCGTTGCTAACAGCATTTGCGCGTAAACACTTGCAATGTGAGCTCTATAGCTCATTTTTGTGCGCAAATCGCAAGAAATCCGGCCGGCAATCGTAAAACACTCATTTGTTTTCGCGCAAATGTTGTTGTTGTCGCAGAGACATCATTTCAAGCGTCAAGTATACTGGACTAGTATTTGACTAGTATATGACTTATGTACTGAATCAGTACTACTTACTCGATTTCCAAATGAGTAGAGAAATGCGCACTGTAACAAATATTATTAGGATCAGGTGCCCGTTCGCAGCAGTGGGCTCCACCCAGACAGCTGGTGCCAACAATTTGTAACAGTACGTATTTGTTGCAGTTGTCCGCGTGGGACCTCCACTTTCGGAGACATACTGTCCTCGATTCTTTCCAAACTGAATTTATGAGAGAAGGAAGATATGACTTACTCGTGCTCCACCACACTGTGTGGATCATCCCTTAATCGCCTCATTCTCTTGAACATTTTAAGAGAATCCGTCTTATTGTATGGAGAATTTTCACCATAGACTACGTCCAGCTGTTTACTGTTGAGAAAAGCATATCCCAGCTTATCCAAGTCGTGTTTCTGAAATTTTTCAAATTAATAAGAGACTAATTGCTATGAAAATATATCGAGTTTACCTGTTCAGGAGTATAACTTTTGTCAAGCGCTTCGAAGGTCTCTATTTTTCGTTTTTCCACATCTCCAAAGATTTCAGTCACATTCTTCTTGGTGAAGTAAAGCGGTGTACCATCTTCACTACGCATTTCCTTCTCACGTTGTTCTTTGTGCTTTTTCTCAACTATTTCTACAGCATCAGAAACTCCTAAAACATTGTAAATATTCTCCAAACAATCAAATTTGACATTTAGGCTCGAAAATAACCAGGAAGGGGTACTCTTTGATAATGCACCTGCTGCCTCTACGATAAAATCCATCCAGGCTTCTTGGTCCTTGCTTGGGAGCTGCTTTAGGAGATGGGGCAGTGACATGGCCTTTTCAAACTCTCCGCCATCCTGATGTAATGAGAAGAGCGAGGGAGAGAGGAGATTGAACTGAACTTTGGGATTAGGTTTAATGAATATTTGCGACAACCCAAGATAATGGTACATCTAATTATTTTTTGCTCTCACCAAATCTTGATCATCTTGCTCGGGTACCACACTCAAAAATCTCGGTGAAATAAGCTTCAGCGTCTTCTTGTCAAAGTTGGTCACATTTTTACCAGCAGCCATCAGAGCCATCTGTAAGCTTATTGGTTGGCTATGAAAATTTGTTGAGTTGTTAAATATGTAGTAGTCGGCGCATAACTGTGCTACTAATGGAGAAAACTGTAGGAATCTGCTAATTGCTAAGATTCCCACAAGTGGGAAACTCATCTTTGTGATAACCTTGCTCTATACGAGAAACTATGACACAAATAGAAAATTTTGTGGGTACTGTGGCTTCAAAAGGGATAATTTATTATTGACATTGTAAAGCTGAAAAGTATAAAGCAAGCAATGCCTCTTAACCAGAACTATAGTGCATGAAGGAATCTGTCTCTGACGAATACGACTTTGCCCATGCTTGAAAAAATCCATGTCCAGTGCATACAATCAACTTGTTCAGGACAAAAGACTAGTCCCCACTAATTCAGAGGAGTCAAAGACCTCATAAGCCTATGAAATACTGAAACTTTCTTTTACATAAAATGTCTTTAAGAGGTTAGAAAAAGTACTATAGAAAAAAATCAAGATTTGGTGTATACAACGCGTCCCATAAAATGGTAGTCTACTATTTGATTATTAAAAACTTTTTTGTCGTAAAGTCTTTCGAGAAGCTTTAGGTACCATTTTGTAAAGATGGCTTCTACTTAGATTATAGCGTAGAGCGATTGACCAGTCCCTTTTTATTACTGTAGAATTACGGTAGGAACGAAGAGAGTTTTCCTTTGAGCCATGGAGGGGCATATTTTGCTTCAGAAAGAAAACAAAGCGAATTGAAAAATCTTACTAAGATAACTAGGGTTGTTGATTTTAACTATGAAGTCGCATCTCACCATAACACTTCCTTAGTAAGTTATGCCAATCAAGCAGTGGCAGCAATTATCTTGATGTTCCTAAAGAAATGTGGCTACATTATTCAGAAAGCTTCACAATCTTGTACAAAAATGATTATCAAACTCACGTCCATGAAAACTCTATCACACAAGTTTTTTTGGATTTTTTTTCTCAAAAATTTTTCGCTTTTCTCAGTGAAATCAAAGCCGAAATTTCCTACCGTAATCCTACAGTAATGAAGGCGATCGGTGACTCGCTCCATTGCTGTAAATCTGAGTTGAAGCCAATCTATGAAGGAGACGGTCAAGAGGCGCGATTTCTGTAGAGGTTACCAACTTAACACCCTGATTTAGAGCTATGCGAGTCTTTCAATAGTACCAGACAGAGTGCTCTAGCTTACAACTATCTGAAGCTACCCCTTGCTGAATTTGACAGCTTTTGGTGAAAACTTGATTGAAAAATCACGAAAACGCCATTAGATGCTTTTGACGGGTTTCTGATCTCCAATATTTAGGTTTTGAATCTATTTCAGAATGATAAGATGGAGCAGCCCATGAGACAATCATATATATATATATCTTAAAAAATTTGAATTGCTTCTAGAATATCACAAAGTATTAAAAATGCGCTAATTAGTGTCCATCTGGCAATAAAAATCGCACCTTTCAACATACTCCCCTTTTTAAAGTGCTGCCAATTTTCTTCCGAAGGAACCAAATAAATCATGTGCACCATTTCTTAGCTGACACTTCCTTCAGTCACAAATCAATTCGAACTCGTAATTGGCAACTCTTCATGATCAATGGTCGGTCAATTAGCACGAATTTCAACGCAACGAAAGCGAATGAACATGCAATCGCTAACAAGGTCAGTCACAGTGCGAGTTTGCGGTGTGCACTCTCGAAGAAAGCGAAAGTTAAGACTGAACTGTAAGGCAGTGAAAAGAGAACCTTTGACAAGTACAAAAATTCGGTGTTGCTAGAATGAGTTCGTACCTTAATGGACTCTCGCACAAGCCTCATTGGGATTCTTATTTCCTCGCGTTTCTTCTTAACCATTTTCTTTTGTTCGTAAGTTCGCTCATCTTCTATGTCCATCTGGAAAATTCCGTGGCATAGGTAAATTCAACGCACTGATTAACTTACAGCCTTCATTGCCAGTGGCTTCCTCGGGTCCTGAAACTCATCTGGAGTGTTGTCAATCATCTGCCTTAGCCTCTTCTTTAGAGCAAGACGATGTTTTTTCTCTTGGCTCACTTCCTTTTTGACCTTCTTGATCCGTTGGATGGCATCGCGCCAGCTGGAAGTCATAGAATTAAACATTCAATAACCAAAGGCTGTAATTCCTTATTGCCAGCTCAATTACCCTACCCTTCAAATCCTTCTTTATTCTTGAATTTTCTCACAGTTTTTGTCAGTTGCTTCGCTATTCTTGAGAAAATTGTGTCATCATCCGGTGTGGGTATCGTATAAGAAGAACGACTTACAATCTGGAATTTGTAGATTTTGTTCTGAAATTTTTCGCAAGTGAAAATATCTGTTCTTATCTAACAAGACATTTTAAGCACTAACCTGTACGGCTCTTTTCGTTCTAATCGTCCTTGCGCTTCCAAACCATTTGCTAGGCACCCTTTTGCTATTTTTGTATCTTTGACTGTTCATTATCATCTTTAATTGTAATTTCTTCTTTGCTCTACTCTTCACGCGCTTCGTCGTTGTGCCCATTATCTTTTTCTTTTTGAGTATGGGTTTTCCTGAAAATGCATTATTCTTAAGTGATGATAATCGATTATTTCTTAGAATGGCTAGAGTTACCCTCAATAATCTTCGCTTTCCTCACTGGTCTCGTTTTGTCAAGCACTTTAACGACACATTTTGCATGTTCTGGTACGGTACTGGCACTTTTCGAGCAACGATGCACCTCTTCGCGATCGTCTAAATCCATTTGGTCCAGCCTTAAATTGTTAAGGTGCATTTAAGTTCTGAAACGATATACATAAGTGCACAATATGATGAGTTTGTGTGCTAATGACTAGAAAAAAACACGAGCGTAAAAATTTCAGCCTTGACAATCACAGTTGAGATTCTCGTCTTTGACCTTTTTTAGTGGATTCTCCTAATTCTGTAGAAACTACTGAGTGACGCACTGCCTGCGCATTCGATTAGTCACATTTTGAACGTTTGCTGAACTTCTTTCTAATGCATAGACATTTGATATATCGTTAACAAAGCGATTGTGAACATATACGGTATGAATACGCAAAGTTTTTGCGGAAATTCGATAGCAGAGTGATCAATGATGACAGAATTAGTCAAAAGTGATGGCTAAGATACCCCCTTAATCTAATAAGTGCAACAAAATGTGTAAATTCAGTGATGTAAGTTGCAGCGATTCTCAGACGGAAAAAATTCTACCTAATCTTTTTTCTGAATTGAGAACAAGTGATCTGACTGTGCAAAACTCGCTTGTCAAAAATTAATCCACTTTGATTGCGATATAAAGCCTAATTTGGTTCAAATAGGGAAATGAGTTTGATAAATTTAAATCGGGAAATTTCAACATTGGTGGTTTGGTAAATTTGAACCTAAATTGTTTGAGCTAATTTTCAAAGTGACGTTGCATGACAGATTCGAGGAATTATGACGATCGCAAACCATTAAAATGTGCTCAAATCTCTCACCGAGATGACGTAACAGCAGCCATTAATCCTGAGACCGCTTGATTCATCCATTTATCCAGAAGCTCCTCGGTGGCCACGGCATCAATAGGAACACGCAAAGTTTTGCCATCTTGGTATGCGTGATTTGTAGGCAGAGCAGCGGGCTTCTTGTTGAAGTGATCGGCTTAAAATAGGCTTTTGAGCACAAGATATACATTTAAATTGAGTTATCCTGTTATTCTGTCATAATTGCAGTCTTTATAATGAATTGGCAAGTATCTATTGACACAATGAAATCTTTTCTTTTGAATGGCTAAAAAAGCATTTTTGCAAACTTTATATTGTTCATCAAAACAGCTCGGATGCAAATTCAATTCGCTCTCCTTTTGTTCTCTTAACAACGGCCTTTTAATGATAAGATTGCGACTAAAGAGGCAAGTACAAAAAATCTTCTACAGGCGGTAGGCTATGAAATTCGCAAATGGCTATGAATCTTCAGAAGTTGTCACGGGCATTTTGGGTATATGTGATTACGAAGTTTTTGTGTTCCCTTCCCACTCCCACTTTACACGAATGGAAATTACAAATTTTATACCAATTTATATTTGAGCAACAGTAAAAATCAAATAAATATTACAGGTGAAAATAGAGTGTCTTGAAAAAAAAATTCAAAAGTGCTAGCAGTGAAAATGTAAGATGTGAACGATGGAAACAAGGCTAAATTTCCAATAAAAATGGGACCCTACCTGCAACGGAAGCAAACAGCACCAGGAGCAATGTTTCATGCATATCCCGTGTGGATTTCAGGTAGCGGGCAGGTGCACTACCAGACTTCACCGAGATTACGGTAAAGTGCGGAAACCGCTCGTTTGGCTTTTTATCTACGGAGACCAATTTGCCCCGCCCGAAATCCGAGATGGCCGGTGGTGCACTTAAATTTGCGCATCATCTTCACAAGCCACAATTTCTCCTTGAGACGATCGCGCGAGAGTTCCTCATTTTGTTCGTGAGTGCGAAAAGTTGCATTGTAAGAGATGTGAATTCTAAACGAGAAATTTGTTGGGAGTAAAAGTGAGATGCCAAATGCGTGCAAATGAAATTCTCTCTTTGCCTAAACATGAAAATGTTTTTCTCCCAAGATCACGGCACCCAAAAAACATGAAAATGTTTTTCTCTCAAGATCACGGCACCCAAAAAAGAAAATGTTTTTCTCCCAAGAACGGCACCCAAAACCTCTCATACATATATACTCTGCACAGTGTAGCAAGAACATAACCGTAACACCCTTACTTTTAGTTAGTCCTTCCACCCGTAACCGCCCAAAGTTTCTAGACTACGCTGTAATGCCTAATCTGCTCTGATTACCTGCGACGAGACTGGCGTCGCCAGTGTCTGGAAGAAACATTTTAGACTATTAACACAATGACGACCATAGCCTTTCTCGGACCAGCCAATAATTTTCAGAGATCACGCACAAATCTGTCCACAGTACACCTACAGTAGCGTTAAAATGCTGGCAAAAACAGTAGAGGTTGTATCTAGATTCAGCAAAGAAAACTCCCAGAGTTGGTTTGAAACAAATTAGTAGCCATTCCGATGGGAGTCATGATGTGTCAAGCCTTGACACACCATGTGTGTCAAGTGGTCGTCAATGTGCTAACAAATGTTCTTTCAAACAAAAACACTTCGATTTGCACGTTCTCAGTTGTCGTGCAACTTGGTATCACAATAAATAACGCAAGAGCCTCCTTTATCTATCAAGAAAATTATGCAAATAATGCGTTTAACCTAATTGTACAGCACAACTAAATCATCAAACTCTATGGCATGCCCAGGTTGAAGGCAGCGTCCATCCAAAATCTGTTCTTTCCGAATTACCACTTCTTATCCTATTAGCAGACCCTAAAAGTGGACAACTGCGTTGATTCAGTCCCTTAATGGTGCCTACAAAAAGAGATAACGGAGCTAATCCACTTTGCGCTCCGCCTCTTTTTTTGCGCCCCACCCACCCACAGATTACCCCCCGACGTGTTCTGACATGACAAGTAACGTCGAAACGCATAGTTTGTTATGTGGTCTGTTGCATACGACGTGACTAGCGCAGGGGCACTCGTCCACGTCTGCCAAAATAAGGCTTCAGAAAGGGGCAATTTCAGAGCTTTTTGGTAATTTGAACCTCATATCTGAATTCAGCGCCATGGATAGGCCCGATAACATAAAAAATATGGAGGACGAAATTTTGAGCGGACGCTGCCTTTGAGACATTCCTACATTTTCGGGTTACTACATCATACATCCTGCTGAGTTAACCTATTGACGAAGATGTGAACCAGTGGCCCATGCACGTTTCGCTGCCAGGGCCGATGCAGACCACCGTGGCCCACGACTTTTGCAAAGTCATATTATTTGTAGGTCTAGTACTTTCTCCACATATCAATTTTTCCAATTTTCTGCATCCTTGGGACCTCTAGGCTTCGTCGTTCAAGAAAATGTTTATGACTGTTTACAAAACAAAGTTGCATTTTATAAATAACCACAAAACCTTCCCAAATTGAAATGTTGTGCAAAATCGCGTCGTCCCACAGCGCCGCCACATAGAATTAGGCGTCGTCGTCAATGGTTAACCTTGATTGAAGCAGCTCTACCTCCTCCTTTACCCATGGGGATAGCCGTGGCTAATGGGCACAGTCCGGGGATTCTGCGAGCGGATTGTAACCCTCTACCAATGTATCCGTTTGTGTGTGTCGGCAGAAGCTGTCGGCGTATCCGCTTCCCGGATTTCTGCTGTGCCCCTGTGCTTGTCTATTTTCATGTCTATTAGCTAGCTACTCTTACTCTTCAACTGTTCATCGGCGTAATCGAAAGGGTGAGTACTTGGGCCACGCAGCTGAGTCGGTAATCGAATGTGAGGCCTGGCATTTTGTCTGCACGACTACAGAGTTGTCGTGCAACTTGGTATTACAATGAATGAGGTGCTTGAGCGAATAGGTTACATATGAATTATCCTCAAAGGCTCTGACGAGGGCGATTGCCGCGTCAGCCGCGATTTGAATTTAACGATATTCTCGCGTATGCCTCAGTATAGCGAAAACAAGAAACTACTAAGTCATGTAACTCCTTAGTTGATTGATTCATCTTGATTGATTAATAAGTTATGGGTCAACTTACCCTGGCTAGCCAATGGCTGGTGAACTGGTGCCCTGCGAAAACCTATGACACTCATTTTTAGAGCTTGACGATTGACAAACCGGCAGAAATATTCTGTTCATTTTGTTTACTCCTTTAGCTTAAATTCATTTTACTACTCTTCTTCATGTTATGTTGTTTCTGCTGACTATATGGGAGGACGCCGATGTGCGTATGAATAAATAAGTGAACAAATTTATTTTTTTATTTGTTCAATGCGCTCTAGGCGTTACCTAACAAAGAAGGTTGGTAAAGCATAAATCACAACTCGAACAAACATAACATCGCATCGCCCCAAGTCAGTCTAATCATCTCCTATAGAAAGATTGTGTCGGGATAAGCTAGCAGAAATAAGTCATTAGTTTGATAAAAACCTGACACGTAAGGCTCAGTGGAGAAGAACCCATGCCCCCTCGTTTGCCAGCAAGGAACGATCTTAATGATCAAATGAATAAATCATCAGTAAAAAGCCGACTGTACAAGAAACAGTTCTACCTTGATTCACCAGCAAACCCTACCATTCTCATATCTTTGGCAAGTGGTTGTGATAGTATCGCGAAAAAACACACCGCTCTAGAAAACCGTGAAATCGGTTCAGAAAAAGTTGGAGTCATCCACTGCAAAAGGTCACACATGCACTCTGAAACCTTGAAAATTGCTTTGACCGAGAAGGGCAACTCTCACCGCGTGAAAGTTTGTCCTTTTGAAACGGTGCCCGTATCCTGTAAGCTACGTTGGGCTGCACTATATTCGATGTGTTCAAAATCAACAAGCACCCGGAGTTTGTTCCTCCTGAACGACGAGCACATTTTTGAAATTGAATCTCTTTGTCCCTAATTTACGGTATCCGCACTAATTTGACGGAACATGAAAAATTGAAAATGCTTGCTTTTCGAGTTTTCATTGCAGGCAAAAAATAGAGAGCTCGTCGTAGGATTAGCACGGATGCGATACCTGATACGAACTCTAATTTGAGGAAAAGTGCCTTGTTCACGTCAAATGATGATACAACATCAGTACGGAGAAATCTTTAGATTTCGTGTAGCAGCAGTGAACACTCCATGAAAGTCATTTTTCTAAATTTACATAGTTGGTCGAAGCTCTTCGGCTCTTTTCAAGCACAACTATGCAAAATCTGTATTTGTCCCAACTCAAATGTGGCAAAGGCTACTTTATTCCTTCTCAATCATGTTTCCATTACATTCGTATGCTTGAAGGGAAAGCCATGCCTACGACGAATCTCACAGTGCGCGATGAAAAAGCGCAATTTTTATCTCTGAGAAAAAAACAGATTTTAAACGATATCCACGCAGCCCACAACCATATCAGAATGATAATCAATGAAGTGGATAGAGAGTAACAATTTGATAGATTTTTGTAGCAACACCATGTCATTATAGTCTTTTCGTGCTGAAAAGTAGTTTTGAGTATTTCCGTAGAAATAGCAGCCATGTACAAAATCCCGCGCACGAAAAACGGCTTTATCGTGTTATAAAGTGGTTTTCGACCATGGCGACGTTGCCTACCCTTCCGGCCGTCTTATGAAGAACCGATAAACAATGTTGCAGGTTTGTCTGTGAATTATTTCAACTCTTCCCTCCTTGCTCCTCAAATTCCAACAGTGACGCATTTCTGCTCCAATTGCATCAGCGAGCGTCAAATGCAAAGGAAAATAGTGATAAGTATTCGCATCACAAACACCAACTTTTGCTCATATATAATCTTCTATTCTTATTGTATTGCTGGCATTTAGCTGTTTGTATGGGTGGAGCTCGTGTGCATGTCGTGCATCAATCGCGGTGATGCTATAGGACGTGCGCCCCGTGCTCGGAGAGCAATGTTGTTGCGTCCATCAAAGATAGTTCATGGCTGGAAGAGGTGCAGAGAAAACAAGCAGCGAGAGTGCACGAGGAAAGAGAAATGACGCGCAGTAGACATCCTGCGTTCCTCTGCGCGGACGGCTTATGGCGGGCTTATTTCGGTGGCCATGTTGACTTGGGCGTCAAAGTTTTTAACTGATAGTAAAGTACTTCACTTTTTTGTTGCTGTTGAATTCTTCAACCATGTTCCTCACAACTGATTGCGAGGAAAATTTCTGGTGCTTTTTCGGAGAAGGGCGGAAGGGATATCGAATGACTAAAGTGAACGCTGCTATGACCGGATATTCAAGATACGATACCCAGGCCGTACCTAGCAATCAGATGGGGAGTTCACAAATTAAATTTGGAGGTCAAAGCGATTTTTCAAGAAAGCTTGCGAAGTTAACCGAGACTTTGGTGAGGCTGTGTTCATAAATATTCATTTTTTTCGGAAGCTGACAAGCCCTCAAAGTTTTCTTTGAGAAACTACCTCAAATGTTTACCATTTGAAAAATGACTGCAATAATCTGCAGTTGAAGAGGTTGCTTGCAAAGTCTTCAACTCATATGGCCATTCTTAACAATTTCGTGACTTATTTAAAAACGGGTGTTGGAAATATCCGACTGATTAACTGACTGGCAATGATCCGATGTTGAGACATACCCTCTGTATCATTAGGAGTGAGCGGGGGAGGGGGGAGACTCGCGTGCCCGGGTTCCGCGCAACCGCCTCTCCTAGCTCTACACTTCGCGAGCGTGGTTTCTGATCATTTCCCCCACGAACGTAGTAGAGGCCGAGCTGCAATCGCTAACCAAGCGAAAGTGACCGTAGGGCATTTTCGTCAAAGAGGTCCTAGTCCAGGCGAGGCGGCCGCAACCCGTGCCGCAAAAGCCCCATCACTCCTCGTGATAAAGAAAGTAGTTAGAGTGTCCAGTAATTGACTATCGCGGTTGCCCTAACGCGAGTTTGGGAGTGCATCATAGAAGATTTAGTCATATGTAGTGCTCCGGTATAACAGTAACGGCTGAACGACCATGAGACGTAGAAGTTAGAATTCGGAGGAATGCACTAAATTTTCGATTCACGCGCAAGTTGCCGGCATTACAGACATCACTTGTCCAGGGCTTTCAGCACCACAGGAAACCATATGAACGGTCATTTACTAGGCGATTCATAGCAGACTATCTAGTTCGGGCTTTAGAACGTATCCGTGAAAGTGCGTCTATACGCATGTCCGCTGCTTCATACGATTTACTGAAAGACGCTAAAGGTGTTTTTGAGATAACACGTATCAAACGTTTCAACCAGGCAGATTTTTCAATATTTGCCTTTTTGGACCAAGGCCTTTCTGCTGTTTTAAACGTATGACCCACCAATGTACCCTATGTTCCGAAATGCAGTTATATATTGATAAGATGTTCAAAGCTTTCTTTGCATGCACGAATAGATACACCCGAAGAAAGCTTCATAGGTACAATAACGATGAGTCGCATTGCCGCGTGTAACAAATAGCGCAAACACTGTGCCTGTCGTAATTTTTTGAGATGAACAACAAATTTCTCAACATCTCGAAATTTTCAAGCTCAGATGATGCGGACAGCTCAATATTTATTAATATCATGAAAGACTTCTTGATGATACGTTTTCTGCTGCAATGCAAGACATCGTATTACAGCACCAATGCGAAGATATTACGTGGGAAATGTTTAGTAACTGCAGAAAACTATACCAGAATAAAAGGTTAAGCAGTACCAGCCTCATATAGCGCCCTTGAAAGCAGTGACCCGGAAAAACTGCGACTGTGAGCTTTACACAACTTCTTGGCCTTCTAGAACCGTTGAGTCCAGGACTGTGCTTAAAAAGTCAAAAAAGTACCTTTTATGACCTCGGCCTTGGAGATCGTTGAAGAGGTTGGGGAAACATTCCCGCCTAAAACAGTGACTGGCTGTAAGAGACTGTAACTCCACCCATATTGGCGACAATTGGCTGATTGGCTCAGTCAAGCAGTCGCGCCTCAGTTGGCGGGCATCTGTCCACTAACCCCCACAGCAATCTCCAATCCAAAACGTCATAAAAAGATTTTTTGGGTTTTAAGCATAGTCCTGAACTCAGCCCATCCAGAAAGCCAAGAAAGCTGGAAAGTTCGTTGTTGCAGTTTTTCCGAATCATTCCATTAATTGCTTTGGCGACGAAGAACGAAGTGGCAGAACGCTAGAAAACGACATAGTAACCAAATTTGATACTAAACAAAAGCTATAAAAATCCAGTATTGACAAATGAAGATGTTTGAAAAATCCTAGAATTGTTATGCAAACAATCAGCCAATGAAGTGCCGATAATCACCTGAATCATGTAATAAACAATTTACCATCTAATGACATGCTCCTCAAGCTTTTTTTTTACAGTACCAGCTCGACAGTGATATTCATGAGAGCCAGCTTGGGGACAAAACTACTTCAGTTGCAATGAGCTTAGATTCTATCAAAGGTGAAAGGGCATACGGCGAAAGCACTACTGCAGAAACGGCCTGAGGAGAAAGAATGAGAGGTGAAAGGGCAAAAGGTGACAGAATCAAAGGAGACCCAGCCATAGGAGTAAGAATAAGAGGATTTAGAACCATTGGACATAATATGAGTGGAGTGAACACTTGAGGTGAAAGGATTAACGGAGAAAGTGCAAGAGGTGTAAGCACGAGTGGGTTGAACACTCCTGGTACAAGAATGAGCGGGTGCAAAACCAGTGGTGACAGTATGATTGGAGAAAAAATGATTGGATTGACTATAAGCGGACCAAGAGCACGAGGTGATAAAACCATTGGGCACATAACCCAAGGAGATAGGATGATTGGACCGAGTACTGCAGGGGAAAGAATGATGGGAGACAGAACTAATGGAGATAATACCACTGTCTGTGATAAGGCTTCTGATTGAAACACCAACCATGTGAGTACAAAAGGAGATAGGGCGATTGTTTTCCGTCTGGAGAGGCCAAATTTCTTCGCTTCTGCTAAGAGACGAATTCTAAACAACGAAATTTATAATTTTATGTGACTTTTTTTATGATAGCAACATGCTGATGACAATAGGAAAACGCGCAGAAAGTCGTAGGTGATACACCGCGCAATCGGCAACTTGTCAAACATCTTTATCTTCTCCTGATTGAAGAAACATTTTTCATCTCTAATGCTAGCGTCCAGGCAAAGCTGGACATATGACTTCTCATGTAGAAAGTAAATTTGAGGTTAACTAAGGCAATCAGATGGTGCACTCGCGGTTGAGATATTCGCCTGCAAATTAGACCTCAGTTTCGCATTAATGGACGATTATCCTGATGCCCCATAGTCTGATACCACGACCCATCAGTTTCGCGTGGATCCTCGCGCGTAAACATGCAAGCTCGATGCAAGTCGTATAATGATACGATCCTGGAATCCAGTTTCGAGGCAAACATCTCAGCCGTAAGTGATTCATTTGCGTTGTCGCTTGAGCAATGTCTTAGTTAAGGCCCTGAGATTACTTTCCACGTAAGATCCTCATAGGTCCAGATTTGTCTGGATGCACGCTGCTTGTAAGTCGCATTTCTTAGAATTCTCAATCAAAACATTAGCTCTTTCAATCAAAACGCATCCTAGCGAATGGCGAGTTCAAACAGGAAAGTTTTTGATTGTATCGCCGAGTCATTCGTAACTTAATACTAGTGAATATTAGCTTAATACAAGCAATTAAAGGTGCTATTTGAAGGAGTGTTCGCTCCGGGACCCGCCGCGGTTTCCCGCTATTGGAGGATTTTTGAAGTGAGCTAACGATTCCTTATATTAGAATATGCGTAGTGCACTACAAGCTAACTGAAAAACCAAAACTAGAACTTGTTCATTTCCAGTGATTTTTCCTTGCTTCCTTGCCTCTTCTGTTTTGGTTAATTATACGTTAGTCAACAGAGTATACTTCTACACTTTGTTAGGCTAAAAGATGTTTCGCTGGAAGGTCACCAGTAAAGGTCGTCGCTTATAAGGCTTAGTGTGCATCACCTATTAAGTTACAAATGAGATAATGTCTTGTGGAAGGGTTAGGCACATACCGTACTTACGCATTCTTTCGCTCTAATACAGAACGCGGCATTAATAATTTGTCTTCAATTCTAGAGTGGATGAAGTGAGTAAGTACGCGTTGCCTCAGGAAGCCTCCAGACCGCGCTGGTTGCCGCATTGCAGTCGGCAGCCGCTTTCGCGCCGGTTGCCGCTTTTGCAGCTGAAGCGCGCTAGGTCATATTTTGTCCTTGGGGAGCATAGTGGCTTACAGTCTGCCCCGATCCTAACCAGGCCAAAGTTGGCATGGCGGGAGTTCGCGTCGCTAGGGTTTCGCGGGTGGAGGAACGACGCCTCAATTAGGCCCCGCCTCCGCGGACCACTGGTCCCAACACGGTGCGCAACAGTAGGACAAAAGGACCAGCAACCCGCGGAGGCGATGCTTAACTGAGGCTTCGTTCCTCTACCCGGGTTTCGCGGTCACGCCCACGGCCTGCTTCTCTGCCCTTTCCTCAATCCTTTTGCCCTCTCCGACAGCGCGTCTATGCAGCGCAGACCGCTAGCGCTGCAAGCGCGCAAATTCACGGCGACGATTGGCCTGATCCCAATCGGAGCAGACTGTATTCGCACTAATGGAGTAGTACATGCAAAGTTGCAGTGTTTTTTCGTTCAGCTACGATGCTTTGCTAAATGAACGACAAGATATGGTTGCGAAGCGGACCGTCTTGAGGCTCGTCTACTATGGGTGAACATGTTGCGAAACTATGTTTTTTCTTAGTTCAAAAGGTAATCTACTATGCTGTACGAAGAATATTTACAGATCAAAGTTTCGTTTAACTACTTAAGGTTTTAAGTTTTTACTGTGCTGAAGTAAACGATATCTTTGCGGAATGAGACTTTGTCATTTAGTTTTTGTTCCGTGGCTGGACTACCATGCTCAGTAAACAATGGACGAGCCTCAAAAAAAATTAAAATGACCCTGGCTTGAAAGAAAAAACATTGTTCAAACAGCATAGTACAGTAGATCCAAAAGCAACCTGTTTCACAACTATATGTCGACATAACTCTTGCAACATGCCAGCTATAAAAGCAAGTAGTAAAAAACATCGTTTCGAAACTATCGCTCCGCAAGCATAGCAGACTAACCAATACGGAAATACAAAAGAGACTTCCCTTCGAAATCGTAACACACAACTAACATAGCAATACCGTTAAAATGAAATTTATAATATAGTGGCATAGCTTCAAATTTAAAGATGAATTCAAAAAACCTTGTTTGTAACTTAATCGGTGAACCAGCGTTAGAGAATTGCCTGAAAATGAGATCTAGACAAAAACTCTGCTTAGCACTATTTCGCCCATTTTGGCAGAAACATTTAGCTCCGCAAACCAAAAGAACACTTTCTTCGACAATGATTCCGTCACTCAGGCATCCTGAAACAAGAATAAACGGAAGCGATCAAGTAAACCTCTTTGCAACAGATTTGTTTAATACAACATAGAGGAAACCTTTGGAGACAAAGGAAAAGCGATGAAAGAGTAATGCAAGTATTACATTTGCGAATGCGAATAAGTGCCCAATACACACTCCACGGACAAAATGTGACTCACTGCGCTTCGGCTGCAAGCAGCAACCGGCGCGAGAGCGGCTACCGGCTGCAATAGCGGCAACCAGCGTGGTCTGGAGGGTTTTCCAGACGTAATTCAAAAATAACGGTAACTAGCCACAGTAAGTCCGCCTTCTTGAGGGAAGGGTACTTAGTGACTGATCTTGGCCCCTCATGAGACGTAGAAGCTGTGGCACTTTTGCGTTATTCGGACCCACTGCTCAAAAAAGTGGCTTCTTTTCTTGTGCAAACTTTGGTAAAATCTTCACAGGATGGACAGCCAACCTCCTGTCCAAAAAAATTTGACATGTCATCTACATGTTTAATAAGTTCTACCTAGGGATTGTTTGGCACACCTATCAATGTAAACTTCATCTGTTTATGCAATAATGACCCCATTTTTAGTCAACATTTTCTTGAATGAGCGATTCAACATTATGAAAATGACTTACGTTTTTGATAAACACAATAGGTTTTCCCAAAACAGATGTGAACTAATGTGCTATCATCTAAACCACGAAACAATCGGCGGTCAGGTATTTCAAGGCATCATTTATAATCTGTCCGACTAAATTCGCATGGCCAAAATAATGTGAAAAGCAGAATCTCTTTAGATCATTGATTAAAACTAGAACTATTGTTTATTAAACGTCTGAAACTGTTTTGTTTTTACAAAAGACCAACGACTTTTGAGTCACTCAAATGCTCTCATACCTCACCGGAATATTTTTTGGAAACAGGTCTGACTGGCCTAAAACTTGTTCATTTTTATGTTGACACGTGGCAAGGAGACAGTCCTCACAGGATCTACGAAAAAAAAGCTCTAAGCTGAAGCACGTATTTCATAGCGTTTGCAAAAAAGGGTCCGAACAGCGGGTACCAATCTAGTAAATCTGACGGTGAATATAGTGCCCCAAGCTGCCGTGAACAAGTAAGCCGATGCAGTTTGCGCGCCAGCTTTTACCGCTCAAATTCCAACATCGCACCACATTCACTTTGACATCTTGTTGAGCCTAGGAGCGCTATGCATCAATCGCACAGTCTTCGGATCGGGTGCTAAACGTGCACATGTTCCGACGCAAGTGCATGATGTTGACGTATCAACCGTTCTCAGCACTGTAGTAGCACACGATCTCGAGATTGGGTGGTTTTCGACCTAAGGCAAGCGCTATACTCCTCGAGGAGTATAGCACCGCGACGGGCGTTCGCTAGTCGCTACTACTGTCGTCGTATTCGCGACTATGTCTCCTTCATAAGTATTGATCGCTAACAAGTTACCACACGTCCAATCCATATGCATCCAACGGTGCAGTAGCCAACATTGGCGGTTGAAAATTGCCAACATTGGCGACTTACAATTAAACATGTAATTACCTAATTGAATAACAACAATCAACATTAATTGTAGAAACTTGCTAACGAACAATTTCTATAGTACTTGCAGTCGCCAGTATTTGCGACTGGCGATCTGGCGGTAGCCAATGTCGGCAAAAATCGCTTGTATTTGGTGTTTGTCGATCGAAGAGGTGCTATACTTCTGGGTTGAGCCAGACTGCGCGACGTACGCAACGTACGCTCCATATCTTTATGCACGTGAGCGTAAGCTGCGCAGTCTGGCATAACCCTCCCGAGGATCATAGCGCCTAGCTGAGAAGAAAGTGATTCTGCATATGATTTTTCAATTCCCATATTGCTCACGAGTTTAAAAAGAAACATCTGATGTTTTTCTGCAAACCGCAGAGAGAACTAAAATAATTCCTATTTTCATCGGTGTAGTTACAGATTATCACTTATACTCAACACTAGTAGCTTATCTTATATATAAAGCTGAATGTCTGTCTGTATGTCTGTATGTCTGTCTGTCTGTATGTATGTACGTATGTTCCGAAGAGAAAATTCCATTTCTGAACCGATCGGGACCAAACTTGGCACACATACACTTGGGCTCCGGCGGGTGTCACAGGCTACTTTTCGTCATCGATCGATATCGATTTTATCGATTTTCATCGATTTTTTTGCAGAGCTCACCTACGGGGCTGGGAGTTGGCAAGGGGTAATCGAGCATGGGGATTCCGAATACAATATTAGTTTTCAGGATTATCAATTACTTTTATCGATTTTATCGATTTTTTTGCAAAGTTTGAGCTACGGGGCTGGGAGTTTGCACAGGGGGTAATCGAGCATGGGGACTCCGAATACAATATTAGTTTTCAGGATTATCGATTACTTTTATCGATTTTTTTGCAAAGTTTGAGCTACGGGGCTTGACACAGGGGGGTAATCGAGCATGCTGATTATGAGTTCGATATTAGTTTGGCGCTATTCGACTATCCGGGCTCCAAAATTTTTTTGTGGTAGAGCTTGCTCAAACTTCGTGCATAAGGGTTAT